GCCAGCCTTCTGGTTAGCAGTCAAGTGCCTTAGGCACTATGCTACCAGAGCTCCTCTAGTAACCGGTAGGCTTGCTTTATTCCAACTTACTTCATCACACAGAGTATTAAGAAGACAGATACTCAGGATTGATATTTAATAAAAGGAGTAAGTTTTACTGCTTCCTAAAGGGCATTCCTGAGTGAAACTGACACTGAGTATGTGACAGTGAGGAAAACAATGAACACTGGCACAGTTTGGTGCCATTGCCTTGATTTGGGCTAAGGTGTCAGCATTTTTATCCACCACTGTTTTTGTACCATTGGCACAGATGTCAACACAGTGAGAAAGGCAAAAATGTTTGGTTATTATGAAAATGCTTTTGACCTCACAGACCCTCAAAGGACCTTGGAAACTCCAGTTGTCCAGGGCTGTACTTGGAGAACCTCTTTTCTATGCTAGTTTGTGGAATACCTCTTAGTCAGATGTTGGGCCTCAGACATGGATTCCTTAATTTTTAAAAATTCTTTTCTGTTTTCCATCACTTTTTTTCCTTTCCTCCCAGCCTCCAGGAAATAACTTCAACTTTTCAACTTTGATTAAATTTTTTATTTCTTCCATCATGTTTCTAGTATCCAACAGCTCTTTCTTATTTTCTGAACCTTCTTTTTTTTATTTCTCTGGGGATATTACTAATAAAACTTTTAAGAAGTCTTCTGCTCTTTGCTTGCTCTGAGTTTCTTAAAAGTTTATTTTACTTTGTTTTTCATGTTAGAGGCTGTCCTGACATGGCTGGTGACCCTGAGCAGTCTGTTCATTTTTAAGACTGAAGCACTGTAAAGCCATTAGAAGGTCACAGCCAGAGCAGCCTATTGAGAAGCCCAAGGTTTCACCCAATTGCATGACCTTTCAGTACTTAACGTTGCTGCCATTGATTAGTTAAACTTGGGTGGTATTTTCTGCTTTTATTGTGGGGTACATTTTATCTGAATAGATCTTTCTAGTTTTTAGAGTTTCAAGTGCCTTGTTATGCTGTGGGGAGTCTTTGGGTGGTTCAAATGATCAACACGCTTGGCTGCTAACCAGAAGTTTGGAAGTTCAAGTCCACTGAGGGACACCTCAGAAGAAAGGCTTGGCAATCTACTCTGAAACATCTGCCCTGGAAAATCCTCTGCAGGACGGTTCTATTCTGACACACGTGGGGTTGCCAGGAGTTGGAAGTGACTCCATGACAACTGAGGATGGGGCTGCTTGGGGCTTCACTAACTGCCTCCTTTTAAGCCTGTCATATAAATAGTTAACATTCTAAGAACGTCCTTTCCTCTTTCTTCTCCAGCTGATCTCCTTGGGTACACAAGAAAGATTACTTGTTTATTGTTGGAGGCTATCAGTCTCTAATTACTGTATTCACTTAAGTTTTAAGAGTTGCCACAGTTTTTTTTTTTCCTCTTTCCTATTAATATGGCCCAGAAACTATTTAAAATTCTTTTGGGTAAGAATTCCAGGATGACTGAAACCCCAGAAAGAAGGCTTGTGAGACTCATAAGTGGAGGCATTGTTGGTTTGTTTCTTAGAATCAGTGGTGTTGTTCATTCAGCCTTTATTCCACAGGGTCACACAGTCAGTCATGCATATTTTTGTAGGCATCGTGAAAGCAGTTTCAAGATTTCATATAAGGGGTTTTTGTAAATGGAACCAGCCTTCCAAATTCTCTTATGAAGACTCAGCAAAGGTTTGCAAACAAAAAATGCTGAGAACAACAAAATATGCCTTCATAAGTGATCCGTTTGAGGTGGGACTGGGATGGATGGGCCTTTCTTTACTGGAACAGATGGTGTAACTTCAGTGTTGGACAAAAAACAGGACTGCTGTTTAGAAAGGGCACCAAAATGCAAATCAGACATTATGAGTTCTGGTCCCAGCTCTGGTTCTGCTCATTAGTTCTGTGCCCTTGGGAGGTTTTTAAAAATCTCTGTGCCTCAGTTTGCATGTCTGTAAACTAGAGATCATCTCATCTGCATTACTTCCCTCTCAGCACTGCTGTGAGGTATATGGAAGCATTTTGAAAACTGAAATGCAAGGTGTTTTTCTGAAAGTTTTGTTTCCATGTTTTTCTTTAAGAGGAATGACAGTCCACTGGGGAGAAGTAGAACAGATGTTATCATAAGGGGGGGTTAAGTTGACGTAGAGGTGGGTAATGAACACATGCAGCTGTGCTGTAGGTGCTGTACGTCGGATCCGTTAGTCTTATTTAACATAGACTGATACCTTCCTTCATCCCAATACCTAGCCCTAGGGAATTTGTCAGTGATGGAACAGTTGAACTTGGTAGGTCTTAATATAAAGGTCATTGTTTATGTCAGGAGAGATTTTTTTTGCTGAAGAATTCTGCCCTTAGTCTTCTGTGTTGATTACATTTATTGTGATTTTATAGTGTTATCTCAGGAACCTAGGACAAGGACTGAATTACTTTGGGTATGACATGAAAATAATGCTTTTTGCATCATTTGTAGATAAATCTAGTTGGGAGTGGCAGTGAATCCGGATCTGAAGGTGGGGACAATTAATAAGACAGACACATGCTAGAACGTCAAGGCCTGAGTGATGAACTCTTTTTTTTTTTCTTTTTCCTGCTTTAATGTTGAACTCTTTTTTTTTTTTTTTTT